CTAGAATAAAAGAAGGGCAAAAGTATGGGATGAAGACTCAAACTTGCACAAATTTTGGACTCAAATGCTTAATTAAAGTCTTAAATTATATGAAAATTTAAAATTAAATTTTAATTAAATAAAAAATATAAATATAAAAATAATTAAAATTTTATATAAATATAATATATAAAATTTATACATAAATAAACCCTTACCCATTTTAGCATGGCAGCTATGGATACAGGTTGCAGGAAGATTCGTGGCTAATGTAATTGATGGTATGGAGGGGCAAATATTGCGGGAATTTCAAGCGTGATGTGGGCACAGAATACAGATAGATATACGTGATATATATTATATACTACTACAACAAAGCCTGCTTGGTTGTGGCGAAATTAATGAAGGGATCTAACAATTGATGGAACAACGCAAATACTTAGAAAGGAGCAGACCATGTTCATAAATGCACCACCCCCCTACTACCCACATTTGTTCAATTCTGTCTTAACAGTCTGAATCCCAATCCTCCCGTTGGGTTTCTAATTTCTACTTGGATTAAAGTTCATGATCTAAATTTCTACTTCGATGAAATTGAAGATTTGGGTTTCCTTTACTGTCTAAGGCTCTGAGCATTCTGTTGGGCAAGTGCGCATGGTTAGTGAAATCGGAAGTATTCTAGCCATTGGAGAAGCTGCAGATATTGCTTGCTGTCCTTTCAATTACTCTAACGTACGACGTATCTGGGAGGCATATGTTCATTTCTACAATGATTTCATGAAGAAGTTCCTTATTTGAAATTTCAGAATTGAATTTTGTTCTTTCTAACCAATTAAATCAGACTGTGGATGATGTGCAGGAGCGAGATGCAAAGTGGGCAAGTCAAGAGGCAAAAAACTGAAACATTATTTTTAAGTGGTTTTGTTAAAGTTAGAATCCACGTTGGCTTAATTTAAAAACTGATCAAAGCATGCAGACTTTTATTCTACGCCTTCCGAAGAGGAAGATGAACCCTCTTGTTTTGTCTCATAATTACACTTCGCTTTTATTCTTTTTCTTTTTCTTTCTTTTTAATTCCAGGTCTGATGTGTTTTTCTCAAGGATACCCTTTCATTAGGCGTTTTTGAAGAGTGTAGCGGTAGTTTTTTTTTTTTCAGTTGACCATGGAGGATGAGAAGAAGAATACTGATCATCTGGAGGAGGTGATGGTAATACGCTACAGCTCTGCTTAGATCTGGCAATTTTTTACCCAATCTGCTAACCCGTCCGTTACCCGCACGTTTAAAACGAGTTAGGGTCATATATTTATGACCCGCAACCCGTTAATGACCCGTTAAAAAAACTCGACGGATCAAGAATCAATAACGGGTTGACCCACCAGGTTAACGGGTTTGATCCGTTTACTCGTCTAAAAATTAAGATGGTGTAAAGGGTGGAGTACCCCTTGTACTCTTATTTATTTCTAATAATATTCACTTTGCCGATAAAAAAAAATTTATTATTTATTTATTTTGTTTTTCAATTCCCAATCTCACCTAAACCTCTAATAATTGAGTAATTTTCTCTAATTAGCTAATTGATTCTCTTAACTCATCATCTTCTAGAAGTAAAAATAATCCCACTCCACTTATGACTCATCTCCCAACCTTTCCTATTCTTGCTTGCCGTAATATTCTTTAAGACTCTAACTCTTTAAAGTTCAAACTATTCTCATATTCTTCAACCTCCATAGTTCATACAGCCTTCGACATTCAAGCTTCGACTCCACCTTTTCTCTTTAGTCTTTAACATTATCCCAAACTTAGATCTTAGTCTCACCAAATCACCATCGCATCCACTTAGCCCTTTCTTTCTTTCTCCTTTGAGTTTGACAAGTGCTCTCTTTGTCACCAACTTTTCTCTCTAAAGCCTTCAAGGTATGTTATTTACTTATTTATGCTTTTTAGTTTTCTCTCAATTCCAAGTAAAAATTCTACTTGATCTTGTCCTTTGCTTAAATGCATTCAATTGATTGATTCTTTGAAAGCAACTACCAGAACAAATATATTCCAATGGGGTTTGTGTTTTTTGGTTGTCATGCTACTATTGTTTTTTTTATTTTTTTTGGCTATTGAGATTTATAAATGTGTGGTGTTCTTGAATTTGATTAATATTGTTCTTTGAAGAGAGGAAGAGAAAATGATTCTAAAGAACTATAAATATGTCTACATTAAATTAATGAGAAAAAAAATTCTTTTTATATGATGTTGAATTTTTTTTTAAATCTTTTGAATAATTTTCTTTAAATGATAATATGTACAAATTATAGAGAAAAAAAAAATTTAATTGAGTCAACCCACGTGACTCGTTTTAACCTAACATGTTTTGATCCGTTACCCGTTCTGACTCAACCCTAACCCGACCCAACCCGCCCGTTTGCCAAGCTATGCAGAATTGAGGCCGTGGAGGCACCCACCAGATTTAATATAAAAAATTATATTGACTGCGTCCTTAACGAATGCATAGCTGGTTGACTAAAAGGGCAACTGGATTTTTTTTTTTTTTAGGGGCAAATAGCACAACCGTGTCCTTGCGTTTGGCGTGGTGGCGAAGGTTGCTTTCTTTAGTCAAATGTACTGTATATGTACTTATCAGAGTTTACGAATAAATGGTGGCGCTAGCTTGGGCTGGTCACATGTAACAAACCCTTTAACTCGTATTAAAAGATGTAAGATTTTATTGAAATAATTGTAATATATTTTCTTTCTCTTCAAATTTTCTCTGGTTTAAATATATATATATATATATTTATATAATGGAGATGATAGATTTTTATAAGATAAATAAAAAAAGGATTAAAAAATAAAAAAAATACGTATCAATTTTGATTTTCAAAAATAATTAAAGTTTTAATATTAAATTATATCATTTTATTTAATTAAAATTTAATTTAAAATTTTAAAAATTATTCTATTAGATGTTGATATATTAAAAAATATAATAAAATTTTAAATTTAAATATTAACATTTAATAGGATAAAATTTCAAAACCTGACCCATAGGGTCGAGTGACATCCGTCACTCTTGTAAAAGTTTATCTTTTCCTTTTCTCCGAACAACGGTTCAATCCGACCCCATGACAATTGTTCAAAAAAAGAAAAAAATAGGATAAGATTTCAAATTTTAAATTGAAGTTAAGATATTAATTATTTTTAAAAATCAAAATATGTACTAACCTTTTAAAAAATAATATATATATATAAACTTATAAATTTTATAAACATATTTTTTAAATTTATTTTTTTTATTTATTAGATCATAGATACAGTTTAAAATAAGGGTATAAAAGGAACGCCCAATCTATCCCCTAATAGGATGTACTTATCAGAGTTTATGAATAAATGGTGGCACTAGAAGCCGTAGGGCTACTAACATGTATCAAACAATTTAAGTTTTTATCAAAACAATTGTAATACTTTTTTCTTAAAATTTTCCTTTTCAAAATATATAAATATATGTATGGTAAAGAGATTTGTATAAGATAAAGAAAAAAAAAAGTGTTAAAATTTAATATGAGGTTTTTTTAATTTTTATCTTAAGAGTATAAATTTAGGGTATAATTATTATGCATTTTTTATATAAATTATCATTGAAAAAGTAAAAATTAACTTTTATTTAAGTAATTATTTAATGAAAATAATTCACATTACATTAATGATGAAATTAATTATAATTTCATATTTTTAATAATAATTAATATAAAAAATATAATAATTATATTTTTAATCTATACTTTTTAAAGTAATTTAAAAAAAAACCCATATATATATATAAACTTCTAAATTTTATAAACATTTTTTAAATTGAATTTTCCTTTTTTTTGTTGATTTATTGAATCATAGATACAATTTAAATGAAAAGCATAAAAGGAACGCCCAACCTAACCCATAATGGGATGTCTTCGACCCACTTGTGGCTGAGCAATTCTGGAAGTTCCCGTTACTTTAGTAATCTTTGAATTCAATATTAATATTACGTATCCTCGTATAACTTTTTAAATACCAAGAAAAAGAATTCAATATTAATATTACGTACCCTCGTATAATTTTTCTAATACCAAGACTAGGATCCTCCTCATTTCTCCCTCTTTCTGGGCCTCGGTTAATATTGTTGCAAATAAAAATTTCTTTTTTTTTTTTTTTTAACTAGAGGAAACTTGGGGTGGGGTGTGGGTGCCAGAATTTAAATTCAGGATTTTGATGTTTTAAATACTATTTTTTCTCAAGAGATGATCATTAGACTAATAGTGGTGGAGTGTTTCAATTATTTTGCCCCTTTCATCTCCAGAAGTGTTAAACTTCTTATATTTTTAGCATGTTTTACAGAGTTTCTCTTTCATTAATTCACCCTTATTCCTATCATCAAGCCAAAAGCATTTTCGCCCCAACAAATAATGCTAGATGCTGCCAACTCCGACTTGCCTCGCATCTGGAGAATAATTTCGACCACCACTCTCGCGCCGACCTCAAATCCCTCATTTATGGAAGCAAAAACAGTGACACTTGTACGATTAGATCCACCCAAATGGTTTAAAACCCAGATCCAATCTCGCGCCGACCTCATGAATAAAAATGGAAGATGAAAAAGGAGAGTTCAGCCAAAATGGAAAAAAAATACCGGTAAACAGATGGATCTGGTTTTGGGAAGAAATGGGTAAAAAAGTCTTTTCAGCTAAAAAAAACTTCACTTTTTGTAAAATTTTGATGGGCATCTCGTTTACTAGTTAAACAGTGATTTTAAGAATTGGGGATGGAGTTGGTAACGATGCAGTTGTCCATCTGTTCTTTCCAGCACATCAGCATTTTCAGAGTCTAATTCAAATGCTGAGTTTATTTAATAAATTAAAAGAGGGATCTCTGTAAATGCAGTAACTCAGTTCTAGTAAGAAAGGAATGGTATGGTAATCATAATATAACATAAGTTTGAATACATTAGCTTTTCAAAATCAAAGGAGACGCAATATAATGACACCTATATTGTGAATTGTGGTATATACACAGGTTATATAAATGTATAAAATAGTTCTAATATTATTTATATTAACACATGTAGATCTTTAGAGTTGTGACAAAGTGGGGTGCTGACAGTTGTTGAAAGAAGCTTCTTTAAATGTTTTGCTTAATGGATTTGGAGAGAGAACTTTATTAATGAGTGCTTAGTTTTGATTAAAATTTAATAGTTGAAAAAAATATTAGAATTTAAAATTTCATATGTTCAAGAATGTATTATGAAGAATAAGGATGGTGGAGACACAAGATATTACTTTCATGGTAATATTAGAAGAATCATAGTTTTAATTTAGAGGGGTAGAGATATTTGGTAATTGCTTAATTTTTTAATATTTTCATTATTATTTACATAATTCTTTGTCATAGAGGAATTGCCTGAAATTATTAAATGATAGGGAAAAAGGAGGCATCAAATGATGCAGTACCTATTGGGCTGCATAAAATGTAGAAAAATTTGAGCAACTAAATAGAGAGAGAGAGAGAGAGAGAGAGAGAGAGAGAGAGAGAGAGAGAGAGAGAGAAGGTAACAATATAGAAGTTGAGAATTGCTAAAATGATATTATTTCATGACAAGATTTGGTGCTCAAGCTTTGACTTTCAAGG